TGCTAACATACATCGATTATTATTATTATTAGCTAAACTATCATTGAACTTGCATTGTGGAACTTGAAATGAAAATGATGTGTGCAGGTGGTGATAATTCTGGATATGCTGTTTATGTCACAGCTGATGAACAAAAAGGTGGCTTGCATCACGATCAATGCTGTGAATGGTGATTGCATTACGGATGGAAGCGCGTAAGTCAGTCAAAATCTAGGCAACCAGACGCGCCGCCCGGGTCACCCTATTTTCCCGGGTGCCCCGGGCGTGCAAGGACCAGGGAAGGTTCTAGCAAAAGAAAAAGAAAAACTTCAAAAAAGTTCCAAAAACAAACAAAAAAAAATAAAAATCCGAAAATAAGACTATGTTATGCAGAACAATAAACTGAACAACTTTTGCCCCAGGGTCACATCGAAATTCCTTACCAAATATAAAATAAAAATTTAAATTAAAAATAATAAAATATATTTTTTTACATTGTAACCCCGGACCCGGACACTTCCGGACTGTCTTCTGGACCAGTGTCTGGACCGGTCCGGACTGTCTGGTGATACGGACATGACCGGACACCGGACATCACCAGACACCGGACAGTCCGGACCGGTCCGCGGGGTGCAAAAATGTACGGACCCAAAAAAAAAAAAAACAGGGGTGGGGTGGGGTTGGGTGGGGGTGTTGGCAGGCACTTACCTGCTTTGCACTCTGTAGTTCAGGCAGCAGAGCACGTGTCTTGCAGCAAATCAACCAGCACATTTAACTAGCAGACATGCAGAGTTGCAAACAGTGCAAAGCAGGCACAAGACTAAAGAAACAGAGAATTTGTTTTTGAAAAAAGTATGATTAACTTTGAACTTTGAACTTTGGATTTAGTAATTTAAGTTCATAACTTCATATATAACTTAAAAGTTCGAACTTTGCAGTTCAATTCAGAACGTCAGAGTCTTCAGACTGGCAGCACTGTCAGTGCTCTCTCTCTCTCTCTCTCTCTCTCTCTCTCTCTCTCTCTCCCCCCAACGGGCAGCAGCGGCGGGCGCCAAGTCGAAACGGCCGCTTTGAAATTCCTCGGGCCTGTGCGAAACCTGCAGTGTCTTGCGTCTGGACCTCTAGGCCATGTCCGGTGGGGTGAAAGGACACTTAAAAATCACCCCGTTATTTTTCGAGGGGCGGCTATGACCCGACAACCGTCCTGGGCCACCCCATTTTTTTTTTTTTTTCGCCCGAGGGGCCTCCATCCGGACACGGGGATCGGACACCAGACACCGGACACCGGACACCGGACTGTCTGGAACCYGGTCCAGACATCCGGGCGGTTACCATGATTTTTTATCTTTTTTTTTTTTTTTTTGCCCCAGCAGGCAAGTGGTCCCAGGCCACTCTGGTAGCCTAGGTCAACATACAAAAGTGCAAATCGCAGATTACCGTCATAAGGTTTGGCCATTCGCACGTTTTTACTCTTTTACATACAACAGTGCAAATTACAGAAAGCAAACGAACGGCATACACCCACCAAGTAACAGGATGCAGAAAGCACTCACAGTCTCACACTGATGGAGCTGTCAAGTGTATCAATTTACTATGAAATCAATTGACTTAACAATCGGAGATTCATAACACAACTCCCAAACGTAGAGGAAACGTGAGATCCGGATGCTTTTGGCCTATCGCCATGGACTCTTCAAAATACAGACTGCCTTCGTAAGGTTGGACCATCGAAGCGTTTTTACTACCTTTTTGTCACTGAAGTCAAGCGTGCTTGTGAGCAATGTCTGCTTCAGGGCAACCGTTTGACTAACGCAGAAGAGCCAGAACCCTTACTAAGATTGAGACGTGGAAATTCAGAATCCTCTCGATACCATTTTTCATCATATTCCTCTTATTCCTCGTTCTTGAAGGATTTCATGTCTCAGTCAAGCCCCCTGTCTCAGTTGCAGAGTCCCAGTCCCGTGTACAATAGCCGAACTGGCAGGCCTAGCGGCCGAAACGCCGATTCAGCCCTAGTTTCGTTAGATGTCTTAGGTTGTTAAAGTCCTCTGGCTCAATCTAAAAAGCAGAATAGATGTCTTAGGCAACCCTTTGGCAAACTCAGAAGAGCCATTTTTCGTCTGATTCCGCTGAGTCCTCGTTCACCCGGAATTGCCGCTAACTCGCCTTCTAGCATCCTTCCAGGCACTCTGGGAAAGCAGAAAATGGAAACGATGAATGAGTTGTTGTTAATATTTAACAACAAGTCATTCTGTTGTTGTTGCACCCATTTGACAATTGACAAAGAGAGGGGGGAAGGCCTGCAGAACGTTTTCTTTTTTCTTTTTTTTCCCCCTTATCAGTCGTTTTTGGAAGAACATCTTCTTCCTTTTGTAATGGGAGGAGTGATGAAGCTGGCTGGGGAGTTACGTCATCTGTTGTAGCATGTTTGTCAAGGAAAGAGGGGGGCAAGTTGGACGGGGGTGGCATAGGTTATTCTTCATGACTTGCTTGATTATTCCCATTCAAAGGTGATCTTCCATCTTGTATGGGATGTGTGTGTGTGTGTGTGTGTGTGTGTGTGTGTGTGTGTGTGTGTGTGTGTGTGTGTGTGAAAGTGTGTGTCCCGCTTAATATGACACGTTTGCGGTATGATACGGGAACCGCATCATAATGAAGCTCCGAAATAATATATCGGCGCACCTTAGGAATGAAAACTTGCAGGCGTGGTGCAGACGCATCCAGTACTCGAAGGTGGGAACAAGAACTTGTAGGCGTGGTGCAGACGGAACCTATACTGCCGGACAACACGACCATCCATGCTCCTTACTGCACTTTTGCAGGCGAACTGGAACACACACTATCAAACAGACACCACAAGACGAGGAAAAGAATCACGATAAGGAAAAGACAAGGAGGCAACGACAACATACTGCAGAAGGGCACAAGGACTGAGGGTCACGAGCGAGGTGGGAGGGCAGACCATACAAAAGTGCACAAAACAAGGGAAAAAAAGGCAAAAAAAGTGCAAGTACAAAAGATACCACAAGCATAGGACAACAGGCAGCAGCAAAAGTCAATGGCTGGAGGGCACGGAGGAGGCGGGAGGGCAGACATCACTCAAACACACAAAGCATGCAAAACAAAAAACAGTGAAGACTGAAAAAAATAAAAAAAATAAAAAACCGATGATGACAAGACTGTTTCATCGGAGTTGTACCGACTCATCAGGAGGCTGAACCCTCGACAATCTGCGGAATCCCCATATTTGATGGTTTGGGTCATGAACCCTTTGACCCTTGTTGAAATCAGACTGTCCCCAAGCAGAACATAGCAGCAGGCAGCAACCCTGTGGAGCACCAGGCAACACAGTAGAGGGAAAACGGCTGCACAACGCCAAAAACGACTGCAAGGAACGGCATGGCACACAGGACAAGCAGCACGGCAACCATGCCGTGAAGCACAAGGCAACACAAGCAAGGCAGCCATACTGCAAGGGACTACAAGGCGAGCGGACCACCAACTCGGCAACCATGGAGCGAAGCACAAGGCACCCGCAACAAGGCAACCAACCAACAAGGCCTGCAAGCAGCAAACACGGAAGGCATGACCAGTGGAAGGGCAGTAAGGCAGCGGAGCAGCGAAGCGCAAGGCAACACCAACCGCACAGCCAAACCACACAGCGAACACATCAACCTGCAAAGAACCACATGCGAAGCAAGCGGGGCAGACAGCAGAGCAGCGGTGGAGCGCAGACGAGACCGTCCACACATCCAACACGGAGCAAAGCAGCACATGACCTACTCACATCACGGTTGAACCCCGCAGACTGTTGGCTCCCACCACCCACTGAGCCAGGAAGACACTCCGACGAGCATCCGACATCACCTACAGGCAAGAACCGAGCAGCCCCCCTATGAGTGCAGTTGGCACTCCAAACGAGGAACCACCGACTGTTTGGCACCACTTAAGGGTGCTCAGTTCGGGTAAGTAAAATTACTTAGAAAAAAATCAAAAAAAAATCAGAGGGAGAGCAGACAACAAGAGGAAACCAGACAAACATAAAACTGATTGTGTGTGTGTGTGTGTGTGTGTGACGGAGAGACAGATTGAGAGAGAGAGGATCTGACAATGTGAGAGAGTGAAAAAGTGTGAGCTGTTATTAACACATTACAAGTTACTCGGCGTGCCCCGGCCCACAGCCGTGGCCGATGGCACGGGCAAAACACCTGCGACCAGGTCATAGTATGCGGAGTGGCTGGCATCACGGGAGTCGGCTGGGTCCACCAAAAAAATGTGGAAAGAACAAATGGTTCGAGCAGAATCCTGGCTCACTCCACGACTCTCCACATGCACAAAAGACCAAAAATCTGGCGGTTTATCTTCCCATGTTCTAGCGGAAGATTCGTTCTTAATTGGAGAGCACAAAAAAAAAGTGGAAAATGAGAATGAATCTTCCTCTAGAACATGGGAAGATGCACCACCATATTTTTTTGTCTTTGTGCATGTCGAGAGTAGTGGAGCGAGGCCAGATCCAAGCTCGGCCTTTGTGGTTCAAACAGAATCAGGGCTTGCTCCACTACTATGCACAAAATACAAAAAATATGGCGGTGTATCTTTCCATGTTCTAGCGAAGGATTCATTTTCATTTCGCACATTTGGAGAGTGCACAAAAAAAAAAAAAAAAAAGAGAACGAATCTATCACTAGAACATGGGAAGATACACCACCATACTTTTTGTCTTTTCTGCATGTCGAGAGTAGTGGAGCGAGTCCAGATCCAAGCTCGGCCCTTGTGGTTCGAGCAGAATCAGGGCTCGCTCCACTACTCTCCACATGCACAAAAGACAAAGAATATGGCGGTGTATTTTCCCATGTTCTCATGGAAGATTCATTTTCATTGCGCACATTCTGAGAGTATTTCGTGTGGAAGGACTCGCTATGTACTTGTATTCGAACATCAGCTGGAACGACGAAACGAAACACTCTGATTCAGCGCTGGACAAAGCGACAAAACCGGTGGAGTCGTGGGCCCCGAAGTAACAAACACCGTGGCCTCGGGCCTTGGACCGGGTAAATCCAATTCCAAAACGAGAAGCCAAAACACAAGGCCGCAGAATCGGGACACCCTGCGGGCCCGGCGGGAAGCGTCTTTCGAGACCCGCTGCACAAATTAAGAGTGTTAGTTGATAAAGTCGATGATTTCCGCCAAGAATTTGTTTTTCTGGCTGTGTTAA